AGGGCAGCTGCAAGTGAAAAGGGGTAGATGGGTGCTCCAGAGGCCAGGGAAGTCTCATAAGCTCAGGGGACCAGGGCCAAGAATCTGCAGGTGAACAAGGGCATTTTGGTGCTGGAAGGGCCGGAGCAGTCCCAGGAGCTCAGCGACCAGGGTTGAAGGAGCCAGGGCAGCACCAAGAGCTCCGGGAACCAGAGAAAAGAAGCTACAGGTGAGCAGGGAAAGGTGGGTGCTGGAGAGGCAAGGGCAGCCCGAGGTGACAGGCGGGAAGCAAAGCAGCTACAGGTGAGCAGAAGCAGGTCGTGCTGGAGGGCACACGACAGCCCCAGGAGCTCAGGGGAGCAGAGCAGAGCAGCTGTAGGTGAGCATGAACACATTGGTGCCAGATATGCCAGGGCAACCCCAGGAGCTCGGGAGACCAGGGCAGAACAACTGCCAATGCGTGGGGGTAATTGGGTACTGGAGAGGGCAGCGGGATGCCAGGAGCTGAGAGGACCAGGGCAGAGCAGCTGAAGGTGAGTTGGGGCAGGTCAGTGCTGGAAGATACAGGGCAGCTCCAGGAGCTCAGTGACCCAGGGCGATCAGCTGCAAGTGGTGTGAAGCAGGTAAGGACTGGAGGAGTCAGCTAAAGCCTGGGAGCTCAAGAGGCCAAGGCAGAGCAGCTGCAGGAAAGCAGAGGCAGGTGGGTGCTGGAGGGTCCAGGACAGCGGCAGGGGCTCAGGGACCCGGAAAGAGCAGCTGAAGGTGAGTTGGGGCAGGTTGGAAGAGCCAGGGTGTCCCAGTAGCTCAGGGGAGCAGGCGGAGTGGATACCTGTGAGTGGGGGAGCTAGGTGCTGGCAGGGAGAGGATAGCCCTGGGAACTCAGGGGAGCAGAAACCAGGGCAGAACAGCTATAGCTGACCAGGGGCAGGCGGGTGCTATAAGAGCCATGATAGCCACAGGAGCTCAGGTGGCCAGGGGAGAGCAGCTGCAGGTAAGCAGGGTCAGCTGGGTGCTGGAGGGGCCAGGGCAGCCCGAAGAGACAGGGGAGCAGAGCAGCTACAGGACAGCAGATGCAGGTGGTGCTGGAGGGGCCAGGACAGCCCCAGGAGCTCAGGGGAGCAGAGCAGAGCAGCTCTAAGTGAGCATGAACTCGTTGGTGCCAGATGTGCCAGGGCAGCCCCAGGAGCTCAGGGGAGAGCAACTGCTAATGCACAGGGGCAATTTGATACCGGAGGGGGCAGTGGTGACCCCAGGAGCTGAGAGGATGAGGGCAGAGCAGCTGAAGGTGAGCTGGAGCCAGTTGGAGGGGCCAGAGAAAGCTCAGGAGCCCAGGGGAGCAGACAGAGCAAAGGCCTGTGAGCAGGGGAGCTCAGTGTTGGCAGGGAAAGCATAGCCCCAGGAACTCAGGGGAACAGGAACCAGGGCAGAACAGATATAGCTGACCAGGGGCTGGTGGGTGCAAGAACAGCCAGGGCAGCCTCAGGAGCTCAGGTGGCCAGGGCAGAGCAGCTGCAGGTGAGCAGGGTCAGGTGGGTGCTGGAGGGGCCAGGGCAGCCCAAGGAGACAGAGGAGCAGGGCAGAGCAACTGAAGCTGAGCTGGGGTTGGTCAGTGCTGGAGGAGTCATGGGGGGGGCCCCCGCAGCTCAGGGACCCGGCAGAGCAGCTGCAGGAAAGCAGGGGCAAGCAGGTGCTAGAGGAGCCAGGGCAGCCCGAGGAGACGGGAACAAGGCAGAGCAAAGGCCTGTGAGCAGGGGAGCTAAGTTCTGGAGGGGAGATGATAGCCCCAGAAACTCAGGGGCAGAGGAACCAGGGCAGAACAGCTATAGCTGACCAGGGGCAGGTCGGTGGGTGCTAGAAGAACCAGGTCAGCCACAAGAACTCGGGAATCCAGGGACAAGCAGCTGAAGGACAGCAGGGTTAGGTGGGTGTTGGAGGGTCCAGGACAGTCCCAGGAGACAGGACAGGAGGGCAGAGCAAATGTCTGTGAGCAGGGTAGCTAGGTGCTGGAGGGGAGAGGATAACCCCAGGAACTCAGGGGAACAGGACACAGCAGCTTATGGTGAGAAGGATCAGGTGGGTGCTAGAACAGCCAGAGCAGGCACGGGAGCTCGGGGGACCAGGGACAAGCAGCCACAGCATCACAGGGCCAGGTGGGTGATGGAGGAGATGGGACATCTCCAGGAACCCGGGAACCTGGGCAGAGTAGCTGCAGGAGATCAGGGCCCAGGAGATCAGGGCTGGTGGTACCAGGGCAGCCCCAGGAGATCAAGGGAGCAAAGCAGCAATAGGTGGCACAATTACACTGGTGCTGGATGGCCCAGGACAGCCCTAGGAGCTCAGGAGACTAGGAAAGAGACACTCCCAGTGTGCAGAGGCAGGTGGCTGAAAGAGGTGCCAGCGGAAACCCCAGGATCCGAGGGGACCAGAGCAGAACAGCTGAAGGTGAGCTGGGGCAGGTGGGTGCTAGAAGGGCCAGGGAATCCCAGGAGTCATCATATGGGAGGCCAATAGGAAACAGGGCTCGCAGGCCCAGCATGAGGCCTCTCAGTACAGAGGCAAAGCCTGAGCAGCCCTCGCCCTAGAAGGAGAGGAGCAGAGGAGGGGTCAGGACTGCTCAGGCTGAAGTATGTCAGAAAGTGGCATGGCAGGCAGCCCCCTGGGGCTCAGAGGACCTGCTTTTACTCCCCTTGCCTGAGCCAGCTCTCCTGTCACTGCTCTGCCTGTCCTTCTGAGCACCTGCTCTGCCCCCTCCCACCTCACAATCCACCTGTATGTGCAGGAAACTGAGGCCTGGGGTTATCAGGTGTGCTGGGAGGAAAGGAACACAGGGACTTCAGGGCAGGGCTTCCTGCAGAGTCTGGGCGCTGAGCAACAGTCTTGGGTGAGAATATAGAAGGGACCATGGGCAGGAAAGTTCTCTGGGGTTGGTGCCCCAAACACATCTGATGGGTAGCAGTTCTGGGGTCACTCTGGCTCTGTTCTGGGGGCTTGAGGGGACTGGGGTGGGGGAAACATGCTGAAGCAGCACAAGGAGGAACAGGACAGTCAGTCCCACAGAGGGATGACAGGGGACCACTGAGGGACAGAGCAGAGTCTGCTGGATAGTGGGGTGCAGGTGAGGGAAAGGGAGGGTGGCGGGGCCCTGGGCTGAGCGTAGCAGACGAGAGACAGGGGGACAGGGAGACTTAGCATCCTCAAGGGTCAGAGTGCACTCCAACCTCTAGAGCTCAGAGCTGCTGGCAGTAGCAGAAGTGCTGGCAGCATGCAGGGGATGAGGTAAGGGTAGGAATGCAGGATGAGAGGAGGCGCTGTGCACCTGAGCTGAGCTCAGGAGGGCCTGACCTGGAGCAAGCCCTGGGGCATGCAGGAGCAAGAGGTGCCCAGTCAAGGCCAGGGCTTGGCAGAACCTGGGTAGGTGTGGGAGACAGGGCTGTGTGTGTGTGGCCCTGAATGGACCTTGGAAAGACATGTGGGAGAGCCAAGGAATAGCTGGGTCAAAATCCCATCCAGTGTGGCTGAGCCTCCCATACTTATGATGGGACTCTCACCACGGCAGGACTAGTCTGGGCAAAAGGGCTGTAGCTTTGCAGAGTTTAAAGAACCTGGAAACAAGCACACCAGTCAGGTCCAGCATCCAAAAGAACCTGGAGTGCTGGAGAGGGCCCCAGGAGACCAGCAGTAGCCAGGGAGATATGGGCAAACAGAGTCCAGAAGAGGTTGCAGGCCTGGAGTGGTGTGCTGACTTCTGTGGGTCATAAGGCACTGACTCAGTTGTTGAGCACGGCTGCCCAGGAGCAAGGACAGGAGGCAGCGGAGAGGGGCATACACTCTGCTGGAGAACTGCGCTTATGGGCTTCTGGAAGCTCATTTGGTCCTGGCGAGGTTGAGGAGACAATGGGCTGGCCTAGCCTAGAGTTCACAGGGAAAGATAGTTAAGAGGGCAGGTAGAACAGGACAGGGGCTCCAGGGACCACAAGCACACACCCAGGACCCTGCCTAAACCTTGCAAAACACCTACACCATGGAAACCCAAGGACAGAGGTCCTCCATGATCCAGGGTCAGCTATGTCCAACAACGAATCATTTGGTACCTTTTTCCTTGCAGCCAGCACAACAGCCCCTTCCGTCTTCCCTCTGGCTTCCGGCTGTGTAGACACATCTGGCTCCATGAATACCCTGGGCTGCCTGGTCAAGGGCTACTTCCCAGAGCCAGTGACAGTGACATGGAACTCAGGGGCCCTGACCAGCGGAGTGCACACCTTCCCGGCTGTCCTTCGGTCAGGCCTGTACTCCCTCACCAGCATGGTAACTGTGCCCTCCAGCCAGAAGAAGGCCACCTGCCATGTAGTCCACCCGGCCAGCAGCACCACGGTGGACAAGGATGTTGGTGAGGACAATTCCCAAGGAGATATGGGAGCCCTGGAAGACAAGTGTGGGGTCAGCTGTCCTGGGTGTATCTACCACAGGCTCCAGGAAGCTCCTGTCTGGCTCCTGCATGGAGGCCTCTGCCCTCCATGTTCAGGGAGATGTCTTATGCGAGGCCCAGGGTGGGTGCAGGTGGGACAACTTGTGTATGGTACACAGAGAGATGGCAGCCGGCCTCAGGCCTGCTAAGAGCCTTATCCTGGGGCAGCCTGGGCCTGACTAAGCTCACCCCAAGGGCCCAACCCTCCCTTCCTTGGTCCAGCACCTTCTCTCCTCCAATCCCATTAACCCCAGCCTTCTCTTTGCAGAGTCCAAGCCCCCAGTACCTGTACCTACGTGTCCCACATGTCCCACATGTCCCAAGTGCCCACGTAAGTCACCAGGCCTCCTTCTCTAGCCCAAGTGGGGATGGAGCACCCAAAGGAGCCCTGTATCAAAAGGAAGCCTCCAAATATTGATCTGTCCTCTTTGTCTCCCACACTAGCTCCTCAAGACCTAATAGGACCATCCGTCTTCATCTTCCCCCCAAAGCCCAAGGACACACTCATGATCTCCCTGACCCCCAAGGTCACATGTGTTGTGGTAGATGTGAGCCAGGATGATCCTGAAGTCCAGATCACATGGTTCATGGATGACAAACAAATGCACACAGTTGAGACGAAGCCCAGACAGGAGCAATTCAACACCACATACCGTGTGGAGAGCATGCTCTCTATCCAGCACCAGGATTGGCTGAAGGGCAAGGAGTTCAAGTGCAAGGTCTTCAACAAAGCCCTACCAGCCCCCATTGAGAGGACCATCTCCAAAGCTAAAGGTGGGAGTGCGGTGTCCGCAGATGGGAGGTTGGGTGGCACCATGGGGTGAAATGGACACAGCTTCCCTGGCCAGCCTTCCTTGCTGGTATTGAACATGTGCCAACCTCTGTCCCCACAGGGGCACTCCGGGTGCCGGATGTGTATACTCTGCCGCCATCCCGAGAAGAGCTGTCCAAGAACAAAGTCAGTTTGACCTGCCTGGCCATCTCCTTCTTCCCTGCCGACATCCATGTGGAGTGGGCAACCAATGGACAACCAATGAATGAGCAAGACTACAACAACACCCCACCTGTTAAGGACACTGACGGGTCCTACTTCCTCTATAGCAAGCTCACTGTGGAAAAGAGCAAGTGGGAGCAAGGAATTGTCTTCACCTGCTCCGTGATGCATGAAGGCCTGCACAATCACATCACTCAGAAGACCATCTCCCGGTCTCCGGGTAAATGACTACTGTGCCCAGAAAGCCCTCACTAACCCGTGGGCTCTTGAGTCCTGCAGGACCCTGTCCCCCAACACCCATGTAAATAAAGCACCCAGCACTGCCTGGGCTCTTGCGACACTGTCCTGGTTCTTTCCGAGGCAGAGGACCTGTGCCACAGGGCCATGGGCTCTAGGTTATGCAGGGGCCAATCTTGCGCTGTAGTCATTAGGGACAGACAGCGGTCTGCATGAGAGTACCACAGCATGTGTCTGCCCTCACAGGGACAGGCATAACCTAGCTGTCCTTCTGCCAGGGCCCATCTCAAGCTGCCATCAGTTCCCTACAGACCCCCAAGGGAAGGAACACAAAGACCTGCCTCTGTAACAGCCTGTCTGGTCCTTCAAATCCTTGTCCTAGGGTCTCTGTCCGCTGCAGGGACTACAGGCCATGCCTATGGGACAGGACCTCCATGACCCACTCACCTGCACAGGGCCACCCTAGGGGACACTGTATACTGCCCAAACATGGGGAAGCTAGCCACCCCTGGGGATATTGTCCACCCACGGGGACACTGGACATCCCTGAAGACACTCACTCCTGTGCTCCCAAGTGGCTAAGGCACTGCCTTGACCACCCCAAAGGAGGATGGTCCAGATACGTGGGAAACCACTGAGCCTTGCACAAAGGGACTAACCTCAGACCCATTAGAACAAGGCTACTAAGCAGCCCCAGCCCACACCGACAGCACACACCTATGGACATCCATGCACATGTGCATACACCTAACACCCTGGGCCCACAGGCAGCCTCCACAGCACCCACCCCACCCGTGCATTCACACCTCACCATGTACACACTGACCAGCTCCCTTGCAGCATCCCCAACGCATAAGTTCCCCATACCCGACTGACCCTGGACACTCAGGCCTCCTCCCAAACCATATGGGGATACACCATTACCACCACCTTTGTCCTACCACCTGTCCAACACCTGTCTTATGCACCAGAGAGCAGGCAGACTAGAGAGCCACAGCCCGTGGTGTCCCAGACCCTGACACTGCCCAACCACTCTAATGGTGAGGACTAGAGGGGTCCACACAGTTCTGGACGCCTGTCATTCCACATGCAGTGTCTGGATAAGCCTGAGTCCAGGGAAAACACTTAGAGGACCCAAGGCTGCTGTCTGGGGAGGGCAGCCAAGGAGAGCTGGCCCGAGTAGGCACAGCTGGCACTTCTGCTCTGGGCTCCCAGCAACCCACACCACTGCGCAGGGAGAGGCCTGGGCGCAGCTGAGGGATACACACTGACCATCCCCTCCTGTCCAGGGCTGGACCTGGATGAGAGCTGTGCCGAGGCCCAGGATGGGGAGCTGGATGGGCTGTGGACAACCATCACCATCTTCATCACCCTCTTCCTGCTCAGCGTGTGCTACAGCGCCACGGTGACCCTTTTCAAGGTTGGCACACTGCCCCCAATACCTATGCTGCCCTTGCTGTCCTATAACACCCCTTGTTAGCTAGTGCTGTCCCCGCAGTGGCCCACATTGTTCTCATATGGTCCTCAAACTGTCTCCTAAGTGTCCCCGCAATGGCCCACACTAACCCTTGCCGTCCCCATGGTGTCTCCACAATGTACCCACAATATCCCCAGCTGTTTTTTCCATACTGTCCCCACAATGCCTCCATGATGTCATGCAGTTTCCCTTATGCTGCCCCCACCTATCTTCACATCCCATATTATTTTTCAAATCTTTTCTCCATATTATCGTCATGATGTTGCATGCTGCTTTCCCATTCCTGTCCCCATTATATCCTCACACTGTCTTTATGATAACATGTGCTATTTTTTTCATATTGTCCCCCCCATGAGTCCCCATGCTGTTTTTCCTATGCTATCTGCATATTGTTCCCATGCTGTCCCTGCACTGTCCCCAAATCTGTCCAAAAATTATTCTCAAACCTGCCACAACCTTGTCTCCACCCTAATCTGCTCTATCTTCATCCTGTCCCCACTGCCCTAAGCCTGTCCCTATGCTGTCCCCTGGCCCCACTGGCTGTGGTGGCATCCCATGGTGCCATGACTACTCACTCACTCTTCCTGCAGGTGAAGTGGATCTTCTCCTCAGTGGTGGAACTGAAGCAGACCATCGCCCCTGACTACAGGAACATGATCGGGCAGGGGGCTTAGAGCCTACCCCTCAAGGGCTCAGGCTTCCCAGGCCCTTGCAGGATCCCATCCATCACTTCCAGCAGCTCAGCCCCAGGTCACACACTCCTCTGACCTCGCTGCCTCTCTGACCCTGTGGTTCAGTGACCATGCGCTCCCACCCTCCCCGCTCTGGAGGACTCGTGGATAGCAGGTGCGCCCAGCCTCAGCAGCCTGGACATGCGCCACCCCTGGAGCAGTCTCCATGACCCTGGCTGAGACAAGAGATGCAGCTTCCTTCTGCAGGACATCCCTGCCTTATGAGCAGGGTGGTCACCCAAGAGGAGGCAGAGACCAGCATTGGCCATGTCCATCTGGGTGGAGACCAGCCTTGGAGACAGCCCTGTCAACACCAGCCTGTCCAGCACAGGGCATCTCAGAGAAACGTGAGGCTGAGACCTTCCAGAGAGACTGCTGTACTTAGCGTGGCAAACATGATCAGTGGCCCTCAGCAGAGGTTTAGAAAGGGCTGCTGACAGTCACCCCGATGGACTGTACCAGCCCAAGCCTAGAGGGCCTGTGCTGGGCACTTCTATGGATAGGGCCTTGAGCAATGGTTCATATTATCCTCATGTGTCCTCTGATGGGGACTCTGAGTACTGTCCCTCCTCGTGGCCCACATTGCACACTGCTGGGTCCAACCCATAGGGATGGACCACCCCAGGCTTCTCTGCACTTGTGATAAAGAGCTGGGCTCAGGATACTACCACCTCCCCCTGGAAGCCCAGTGCCACTCCTGGGAAGCACTCAAGGGAAGATCTGTGCCACCTGGTGGCTGCAGAACACCAGCAAGGGCAGAAGTGGGTGGCTGTCATCATTTGTACCTCCAGGAAGGTCTGGTGAGCAAGCTTCAGGCAGGCCAGACTCGTCCTTCTGGTTTTCAAGGATAGAGGAGGCCCGAGAGCCCCAGCCAAGCCCCAGCCAAGGCACAGCTTGATGGCTACTAAAAGCAGCAGGGCTCAGACAGGCCTGTCCTGCAGGACCAGTGTCCACTCCGGAGCACTGAAAGCAGGAACCCCCAGTTGGACAAGATACCCACAGAGAGAGCCCAGTGGCCAGGAGCCAGGGCTAGGCTGGCACTGGACAGAGGGTCCATGTGCCACGGTCCTATCCAGCATGGGGAAAATGCCAAGCCACACCCTCCAGTCAGGAAGAAAGACACAAGCAAGAAAGGAGAGCAGACACCACTCCATGTTGCAGGAAAGCCCAAGGACAGGTCTGTTCAGCTTTGTAGCTTTGTTCTGCTTGTAGTGTTCTGGAACCTCTGATGTTGTGAAAGTTCTCTCTTTAATGGTAATAAACATCCTTTAAAGACTGTTCCTTGCTGTGGTCTTCCTGTGTCACAAGCCACGCTTCCAGGCCCAGGCACAGATGGGCAGCATTGACAGTCATGCAGGGCCTCCCACCCTTCCCTTCCTGCTGCCTCTATCATCCCAGGCACTCAGCCTTCCCTCCCCACTGCTTTCTTCTGGCTGGGCACTGCCCATGCCCACCTTAGTCACTCTGGGGGATGTGAAGAGCAGGCCCATCTCAGGCCAGCTGGGCAGAGCTTCCTGAGCTGACCATGTTAGGAAGTGTGTGTTTGGTTCCTTAGGAGCTTGGGCTGCCATGACAAGGACACGGGTGACCTGTTGAGCAACACAAGTTTATTCTATTGTGGCACTAGTAGCTGTTGTCCCGGATCAAAGTGTGGTCAGGGTGGTTTTTTTTCCTTGGCTTACAGATGCCATCTTCTCCCTGTGTCCTCCCAAGATGACCCCTCTGTGCTCTGTGTCCTAATCTCTCTCATGAGAATCCAGACAGAATCATGTCCATCCTAGTGACCTCATTGTCATCTGTCTGTTTAAAGACCTTGTCTCCAAATGGGGCACATTCTGAGGTCTGCAGCTGGGACTTCCACATACAAATGTATGCGGGACACATTCATCTCCTAACAGCCTACCTCAGGGGGCAAAATTCAGTCACACATCCCAACACACAGAAGTCTCACCCAAACCACCTCACCTCCAAGCTCCAAGTTTCATATCAATATCACCTGACAGAGAAGGGCCAGCCCCAGCTGTGATGTGCTCTGGGTTCAAATTCACCCCCACAGGATATAATACCAGGAAGACGGGGCAGGCAGGAAGTGCAGTGAGATATATTTACAGGGAGAGAAGAACAGATGCTCAAGTGCAGTGGCAGCTGTTGGAACAAAGAATGGAATCAGCACAAATTGGCATTGGGGTGGCTGAGGAAGGGAAGTGAGGGACAGGGGAAGGGAGACTGAGCTCACACAGTTGGGCCAGTAAACAATCATCATGGCTGCTCAGTGTCTGTGGATGAGGCCAGCCATGTCCAGGCTGGTTGGTGATGATACAGTGAGTCTGTCCATCCTGGATACTGGGGACTCGGAAGTGGGGGACACAGGGCCCATCCTGAGGTCCCGGAGGTAGGAGACAAAGACATCTGGGAGGGAGGAGGACTGGGACAAGACTGAGACCTTTTCAGCACGTGCTCTCAGAGGAGGAGTGGGGGCCTGGCTGGAGCTAGCAGTTAGGTCTGCGTGTCCAGGGGTGGTTTAGGGTCAGTCCATACCCTCCCATGCCTTCACATTAACCCTTTAACCAGAAGCCAATCTGGCCAGTGGGCAGCCTCCCTCCAGCTCACCCCTCGCCTCAGTGCTGCCTGTGCCTCTCCAGCTCCCTCGCCAAGGATCAGTATACCCATTCCTGAGTGCCCACTGGACTACCTAGGATTGTCCTAAACAACACCAACCTCACAACCTCCCCACCAGACACAGAGATCAGCACAGACTCAGCCCCTCCAGAACCCTCTACCTACAGCCCTCCTCAACTCTGCACCTATGTTAGCCTGAGTCAGCCTCCTGCCACCCCCTGCTGCCCTGTGGCACCCACAATCCCCACAATCAGATCCCATGCCCAATGGTGTCATGCCCTCCTCCTTACCACTTGCTCCCTTCAGCTCCCTAAACTCACAGACACAGAGACTTGACCCTGGAGCATCCTTCCATGTCCCTGCAGCTCAGGGACCCCCTGAAGTACCCAGCTGAACCTCACAGACTCTGTTCCTGGACACACTGAGGTCCCACCCAGGTTTCCATGCATGAGATCTATGGGCAATACCAGTAATAGCATGTTTGTGGTGTGACTTCCTGTATTGTGACCTCTACAGTGTGACTTCCATTTTTGATGCCTATGGGTGACTTCCACTGTGTGACATCTGCGGCATGACTGTTGTGATATCCACAGTAAGACATCTGTGTGACTTCCATGGTGTGATGCTTATGGTGTGACTTCCA